CTAACTGATGACTTGCAGGTAATGATATTCACACAACCCAATTCGTCCGACCTTGGAAGTTTCCTGCAACCACGTTATGTAAATCTTCCACAATTAGCGGAGATATTCGAGATGGATGTTTACGGTTTTGATTATTCAGGGTTGGTCACGAGGTCAACTCTGTGTGTAGACAAAATCCTGAAACATTTTCAGATACGGTTATTCCACTGGTGTTATTTCTGAGAAAAGTATCTATGCAGACATTCGCGCTATTTATGACTATGTACGCAAAACAAGGCCAAATAAAAAGGTATTGTGTCACACTAATGTTATTCAGGTTTAATGCCATTTTTTGTAGATCGTATTATTGGGCTACAGTATCGGTACAACAGCTGTAGTAGATCTGGCTGCAACGCATCCCGAAGGTCTTGTTGGCGTGATTCTGGTAGCGCCGTTCACAAGCGGACTACGATTACTGGGTAATCAACCGAAGAGGGAAAAAACACATTTTCTTGACAAATTTGTTTCGTAAGATTACAAGTGCTTTCTTCTCAACAATACGTTGCACAATTCTGAAGAATTTCAGTTGTGACAAGGTGGCTGAAATAAAAGTGCCTGTTTTAATTTGCCATGGAGCACGGGATACGGTTGTTCCATCCGAGCATGGGGTTGAATTACATGAAAAATTGAAAAAGCCGGTGACACCTTTAATTGTGCATGGAGCTGACCATCAGTCAATCCTCAATGGTGCCTATCCACAGACATTCTGCAGAATTCATAGGTAGGAGGCTGCAGCACGGTTTGACTTGCTTAATGTTCCGATATAAGTACAAATTTAGATTTCTGAAAACTGAGACCGATGTGGACCATATAGAAGAATCTCGACAAGGTTTAGTAATAAATTAAGGGCCATTTTAACAGATAGCTTTATGTACTATACATTTAATAAAAATGAATAATTGCTGTTCTGACAGTTCCTTCACAGTATTTCAAATTTTTACGAGAGTGAAACCCATATCAAAATCAACTCATTAACTCGTAGCGAGCTATCTCAGTATTGCATTGTTCATATCAAAGCCGAATACGATGTAATCATAGTAATATATGAGACCAAGAATTCGTCGAATGTAGCGATCAGATATTATAAGTCTCCTTATGCTGTTTCTCGCTGTACTTTTGTACGTGGAATGATGAGACCGTCCTTCTAAATAGAAGAAATTGTTTTCGAAAACTAGAAAACTGTACTTTTATGTTATGCGTTAAATCAACAAATAAAAAGGGTAAAGATTTAGATTTGCTTACTTATCAGCTCCCTTTGTATTCTGTTACGCATGTCTTCAGGTACACCAGCTTTTTTGAAAATTCTATCAAACTCCTTAGATATAATCAAAGCTCTATTATCCGATTCTGGGTATTCAATAAGATCGTAAGTATTTAGTTGTTTTTTGAAATTGCACTGCCTAAAAAATTTAAGTTAATAGAATTTTTTCCTGGTAATTGTTTACCAATAAAAATAATTGGCATCTCACCAGCTTTGAGGTGCGAAATGCCTCGCCACATACCATACCTCTCTTGCAATATAGGTCCTATTGTAATTTAAACCATATAATAAATGAAAAAGTCTTTCAACAAAACACGTCATATTGTATCTGCAGCCAAGGCAACGTACTTGGGGAGCAAAGTTCCTCTCACTGAAAAAAAGCTGATTATTTTGACCAGTGGAATATATTTCGAAAACAACATGAGGCTTAATAAACAAAAGCAAAAGTCCCTGTTTCTCAATAT